CGGTTGCCAAGACGAACAGGGCTCTCCGTACGAAGACTACTGCTACGGGTGAATTTCACTACAAAGAGGGAGATCTCGTGGACTATCATCGCCCGACCACCACGAAAGACGACTGGGGTGGATGGAGTGGTCCATACCCGGTCATCCGCAACGAACCTGACCGAGGCCAGGTCATCGTGAAGGTCGGCAGTCGCGAGGTGCGAGTACAGTATCCTGACACACGACACACGCTGTACATCGAAGCACTTATGGTCCGCGAGATAGGATCGGACAATACGGCCCTTCGGACAGTATTGGCCTTTATTGCCGGTCTGCCAGCGGGGAAACCCGCCATGACTTTCGGATATCTACCAGCGAAACAGGGTCGGCTGCAGATGACTGCTGCGAGCCGACTTTCGCCTAAGGTGCACTTGGCTCTTCAGTACCTCATACGCAACTACTTTCGTATTGAAAACGTTGTTGCTGTACGACTTGCCAAGAGCCTGACGAAGTTGCCTGCTGCACCCTATGCAGACAGCTGTACACTAGTGCACTATGATAATGATGTGACCCCTGGTTTTCATTACTATGAAGCTGATGGCACTGCCTTGAACATCTATGACATCACAGGATCTACACACTCACGCATCATCCAGTGTCTTAAATCCAGGAAGTCGTCTGCTGGATTTGACCGAGACCTCACTAAGTTTGAGGAACTCGCTGATGGTCCACCACCAAGCGAGTCACCTCCAGCAGCTGCTCCTGAGGAGCCTCCTACGGATAACGATGGTCGGCTCCCGACCATCATAGAGGAAACAGAAGAAGATCTGGATGCTTTTGTCTTGAAGTCGTGGTATGCTGAACTGATGGATGACAGAACACTCCTTGAAGCTGACACAGAGGAAGTCATGCATACAGTTCCCACATACATGACAGACACACAGTGTGTGTTAGTCTCTACGACCTGTGAAGATGTGCAAGGCCACTTGCCGGAGCGGGGTCGCCCGCCAGGATACGACATGGACACTTCTTACTACGTTCCCTTATGCTCCACGGATCCGGACAGTAAATATGATCTGGACTCCGATGAGCACGGGAAGTACATCGAGCTCTGCTTCACAGCAGACATGTCCAAAGTCGTCCTGTCCGAGCAGCAACACCGATTGTTGGATGACAGCAGCGTCACAACTATGCGAGTATACGTTAGTGCTGCTTCCAAACGTGCCGTGGTCGTCAAGGAAGACGATCTACTCACGAAGGCCGACATCCAAGCAAATCCGGTCAAAGTTTCCAAAGCCCTTTACACAGAATTGAAGACTTGGCTTGACAACAAATGCTTCCAGATGACTGACTTGAGCAAAGCGTCTAACATCATGACGTCACGCTACGTATACAAATGGAAGTTTGTCAAGAACGAAAAGGGCGAAATGGAAAGGACGATCAGGTTACGCTTGGTACTCCGTGGCTTCATGGACCTTGAAGCCTTTGATGTCGAAACCTTCTCTGGCACGGCAAGGAGGTCAAGCCAGAGACTGCTCGCAAGTTCTGCTGCATGCAACAAAGCTTGGATCATCGCTTCCCTGGACATCAACATGGCTTTCTTGAAGGGACTGACCTATGGCGAGCTCGCCGCGGCAACGGGCGAGAAAGAGCGTGTGGTGTGCTTCACACTACCACCTGGGTCAGCAGCTGTCCTTCGCACGCTGCCAGGCTTTGAGTCATATGACGAATCAAAGCATTGTCTTCGGTGTCTGAAGCCGGGGACGGGCACGAAGGATGCTCCCAGGGCATTCTCGCTGAAGCTCAGGTCCATCACTAGGAGCTTTGGGCTACAGCCTACTTCATACGACGAAGAGTTCGAGATGAGCCCAAACCTCTTGACAGCCAAGCACGTTGATGACATCAATATGACTGGGAAGGAAGAGGCTATTGACAAGTATGTCAAGTGTGTTGAAGATACGTTTGGGAAGTGCAAACTGAACAAGCACACATACACAAACTGTGCCGTTCGGTATAACAAGACCGATGATGGGAGCGTCACTCTTGATCAGGACGAATACATCAAACAGCTTCGTCCTATCACACATCCAGAACTCACAGGAGCTGATCCTGAGAGCAAAGCGACAAAGACGATTTCTGATATGTTCGTCAGTCTTCGTGGCGCTCTAGCCTATGCGTTGATCACGCAGGTATGGCTGATGGTCTATGTTGTCTCACTACAACGTATCCAGGAACCGACAAACATCCAGGTACGACGACTAAACGCGGTTACCAGAAAACTACAGGCAGGTCCGAAGAAGATCGTGTATCAAGCTATGACCCCAACAGGAGAAGTCGACCTGCATAGCGATTCTGGCTATCGTCGTCTCAACGGAGATGAAGACGACGAAGTCAAAGGCTATGGTATCCGCGGGGCTAACCTGCTGAGGCGTGGCCACACGCAAGCGGGGAAACCCGTCGTGCACCTGGTGGACGCATACTGCAAGTCTCATCGACTGCAGGTGCGTTCGAGCTACTCTGCGGAAACACTGGCAGCAGCCCACAACTTGGAAGACTGCTACCCGACCATTGTAACGCTCCACGAGCTACACTCGGGACCATTGACCCCCACACAGTTAAAGAACATATTGGAAATGGGTGGTCTATGTATCAAAGTCACTCTGACTATTGATGCCGAGTCTGTCTTCAAGTCTTTGTCTAGCAAAGATCTGAAGAAGCCCACAGAATGTACTCTGCTTGGGCACATTAGCTGGATCCGCCAGATGATGGAGCGCGGAATCGTTGAAAGCGTTCAATGGTGTGACACGCGGGATATGACTGCCGATGGTCATACCAAAGGTAGTATTGACCGCGCGTTGCTCCTACAAGTAATGGCCGGCCAGCAATCCTTCAAGCACGAGCTGAAGAAACATACACCGTATAGGGCGGGCAGGTCGTCTCAGGACGGCCCTGCCTCCCGAGCTAGCGGGGAAACCCGCGGGCAGGTGCGCTTTAATAGCGAGGAAACTCGCCGGTAGCGAGGCTACTCGCGCGCCCTTTCCTTGTAGGCAGCCGCTGCTGCTTAGCACTGTTTTTCCGCATAATGTAGAAGTGCGGTGCCTGCTCGTCTCCTCCCCCTCCGACTTTAAACGGAGAAGGTTAAAGGCGAGGTATAAATCGAGCATGTACCGCTGCCGTGCCTGGCTCAAGCCGGGCCCGGCCAAATATATGACTGTGCCTCACCGAGGCGCACGACTGGTATCTGAGATCGGAAAATACCTTTTCCATTGAAGATGCCTCTTCTATCCTTTACTCCAGATCCCATGCTTCGTCTCGCTCTCTTGCTCATGCGATATGAGCCAAAGCCTGGGATATGGCAACGCTTAAAGCGTAACACATACCTAAGCTTACCAGCTTGTTTTCGACTGTTGTGGGTACCGTAATTTAAATATCTGCTTCGGTGAAGCTCCCTATGGGGCCACGAAGCGCTGCACTGGGCGGGGGCGAACGCTGAACTGTGTGGGTGGTGTGCCGAATTGGGTTTCCGGGGCGCATGTGGACGGTCCCGCTGAGGGCTTCGGTGGAGCTCCCTATGGGGCCACGAAGCGCTCTACTGAGTGAGTGAAAATGCCAAATTACATTTCCCGGACGCATGCGGACGGTGACACTGGGGCCTTCGGTGGAGCCCCCTATGGGGCCACGAAACGCTGCAGTGGGTGGGTGAAAATGCCAAATGGGGCTTCCAGGACATGCGGACGGGGGCACTGGGGCCTTCGGTGGAGCTCCCTATGGGGCCGCGAAACGCTGTACTGGGTGTGCGGGACGCATGCGGACGGTAGCGCTGGGACCTTCGGTGGGGCTCCCTATGGGGCCACGAAGCGCTGTACTGGGCGTGCGGGACGTATGCGGACGGTAGCACTGGGACCTTCGGTGGGGCTCCCTATGGGGCCACGAAGCGCTGTATTGGGTGGGCGGAATGCAGGGAGGAGGGGGAGGAGGGCCACGAAACGCTGTACTGGGTGTGCGGGACGCATGCGGACGGTAGCACTGCGACCTTCGGTGGAGCTCCGTATGGGGCCACGAAGCGCTGACTGGGTGTGCGGGACGCATGCGGACGGTAGCACTGGGACCTTCGGTGGGGCTCCCTATGGGGCCACGAAGCGCTGTACTTGGTGTGCGGGACGCATGCGGACGGTAGCACTGGGACCTTCGGTGGGGCTCCCCATGGGGCCACGAAACGCTGTACTGTGTGTTTGTGTGAAACGCAGGGAGGAGGGGGAGGAGGGCCACGAAACGCTGTACTGGGTGTGCGGGACGCATGCGGACGGTAGCACTGCAACCTTCGGTGGAGCTCGCTATGGGGCCACGAAACGCTGTACTGGGTGCGGGACGCATGCGGACAGTAGCACTGGGACCTGCGATGGGGCTCCCTATGGGGCCCAGAAGCGCTGTACTGGGTGTGCGGGACGCATGCGGACGGTAGCACTGGGACCTTTGTTGGGGCTCCCTATGGGGCCACGAAGCGCTGTATTTGGGTGGGTGAAACGCAGGGAGGAGGGGGAGGAGGGCCACGAAACGCTGTAATGGGTGTGCGGGACGCATGCGGACGGTGGAGGAGGAGGGGGAAGAGGAGAGAAGAACGCGGGGACCGTCTCTTCAAAACGAGGACCCAACACCACAGGATGGTTGGGAACAAGCACAGTCTGAAATTTCGAAAACCTGAAGCATCCAGCCTCTTTCGTCGCCAATTGCTTGTGAGTGCCTTCGGAGTTCCCCAGAACTCTCCGGAGCTACGTCTCCAGAGATCTTTGGATCAGAGGCTTCTGGAGGCCTCCCGAGCCCTTCCGAAGGCCCTCGAAGGCCCTCGAGGACCTCCTCCCACCCGTGCAAGCCCGTCGAGCCCCTCGAGGCCTCCCGAGCCCCTCCGAGGGCTCCCGAAGGCCCTCGAAGGCCGTCGAGCCTGTTGGGTTTGGTCGCCTTCGGCACTCGTCGGAGCCGCGAGGCCGCCGCGCGGGCGCGGGCGGCCGCGGAGCGCGCCCGAGGCGTGGACACCCTGGCGGCGGCCAAGTTCCCGCTGCTGGCCAGGCGCCCGGCTGCGCGCGCGCGCGGCGGGGTGGGGGCGGCCGCCGGCGCTTGCAGGGGGCGCTGCAGCGCATGCTTTCTGTCTGTTTCTTTCCGCGCCCTGAGGGAGGGGGGGAGGGAGGAGGCGGGAGGCGAGGAGGAGGGGGGAGAGGGCGGGATGATGAGGAGGGCCAGAGCAAAACCAGGAAGCATCAACCATGCTTCAATGCTCAGGCGATCGCAAACATGGATCAAGGGGGCGTGGATTAGCGACGGGTCCCGTTTCCATGGTAAACCGCGGATTTCCGCCGCCGAAGGAGGCGGCACTGGCCGCACTTTGGGGAGGGCACCCCTCCCCGATCCATGGATTTGGCGACCGCGCGCCAAATTCATAGATCGCTAATTCATGTTTTGCGCGCCCCCGAAATACACCCTCCCGTTGCAAGTTGCCTCAGAAGTCCCTGCGCGCCTTCTTCTGCGCGCGCCTCGAAGACGAGGACTCTGTGTGCCTGTGATATCCCCGCTTTGGAAAGGAAGTGTACATCCTTCCGGCGAGCAATAAGGCACTCGAAAAGCTAGGATTAAGTCGGGCCTGTCCCTCCGCAGGAGGAATATTCACAAATAGTCTAAAAGTCGTGCGGGCACGTTGTTTTGGATTATTGTGGAAATTTTGGATTATCTTCTGACTATTTTTGAATTGTTCGCCCACAGCCTGCCTGTGGGGGGAGATGCCCGACCTACAGCTGGGGGTCGTATCGGCGTGTCCAGCGAGCGCCCCGTCTCGAAGAGGAAGCGTCCCTCCATCCCGTGCAGTGCATGCGCAGGTTTCCGCCTCTGGACTCTTTGGTTCGCGGAAGTCCACGCGGGAGCCACAGTTGGGCGTTGCGTAATAGGGGGGTCATAAATGGGGGGGTGGCGAGGGTGGTCCGAAAAGGTACCCAAATGGTACCTAAACGAGCCCCCCGGGGCTCTGGAGGGGCCCGAAAGGGGCACGAAAGGGGACCGTTTCTGACCCCCCCATTTGTGACCACCCCATTAAGCCACGCCCAACACAGTATGACACGGAGCCGCCCTGAATTTGTACAGGTGTTGCGTCTGTTTCACCTTCTGGTCGTCTGATCTAGCGGAGCCTCGAGCGACAACCGCACGTTGGAGAGCGGGCGCCCTTCGTCATTGCAGTTTGTGCAAGCGTTCAGACGAATGTGCGCAACGCTGAGGCGAGAGCCTCATTTTGAAAAGGAGCCGCCCTCCATCCATTTACTAACCCTAAAGACTGATGTTCGTGGCGCTACGGCGAGGGCTTCATTTTGGCATCCCCATGCATCCTTGTATCTGCAGCAAGCTTCTAAGGCGAATGTATGCGGCGCTGAGGTGAGCACCCAATGTTGAACACGAAGCGTCCATCCCATGTAACCACTGCTAGCTTTTTAGACAAATTGGCGCGGCGCTCAGGCGAGAGTCCCATTCTGAAAGGGACCGCCCTCAACGTTTGTTTTTGTTGCAAGCTTTTGCAGGCGAATATGCGCGTCTCCCACTGCGAGAGCCCCATTTTGAAATCCACCGCCTTCCATCCCTGTAACCGTGGCAAGCTGTTCAGATGAAAGTGCTCGGCGCTAGCGCGATAGCCCCATTTGGAACATTACCCACTCCATCTGTGTAACTGTTGCACGTTTCACATTCAGGATCATAAGCTCTGGACAGGGCTCAGCCGAAACACGCGCCCGCCCAATAAATATGTCTGGTGGTGCGACGTGGATATACATCTAAAAATGGCAAGGACGAAGGCGGACGAGGAGGCGGAGGCAGAGGAGGAGGAGGAGGAATAAACCCCGTACGACTAATAACAAAATTAGCCAGACGACTTAGAACAATACTCATATTTATCAGCAGCATCATACTAGTACTAATAAGACGAGCACTCAATCTACTAATGGCAGTAATCATCCATAGGCTGTGACTACTAGCACTACTACGAAGGATTCATAATCCGAGTCTTACTTCTGACAATAATCGTGAGAACTTGGGGGGAATACTGATGCGACGAACAACGATATTACTCTTATCTGGTTACAAGCTCATTTGGACCCCCTGCGTTTTTAAGGAAAAACTGCATGGAGCGCGGCAACGTCAACGGCAACGTCGGCAACGTCGGCGGCAACCGCTAGGCGAAGACGATGAGTGAGACAGCGGTATATGTTTTCTGCATCGGCTCGGGGTGGTGCGGCATGGCGTTCGCGCGGGGGGCCCTTCTTCCCCGACATAGCTCAAGCTCCGCTGGAAAAGTACCCAGTGTTTTGTACGTATGAATCGCTACTATATGGCAAGCGCAACGCTCTAGACATATCACCTCGCCTGGAACGCAGCTGCCAGCGCCGCGAAACTCACCTTCTGCCCACTGGCCTTGATGTGGGTGCGGAACCTGTGCTCGGCAAGGAGCCTCGACCACTTCTTCCTGTCGGCCTTCTTGGGCAACGTCCCGCCGTAGCGCTTCCGGATCCACCGCTTGACCAATGACCATTGGAGCTCTACGTGGTTGGTAGTGAACCCTCTTTCTTTCGTGATCTCGCCAGCGCTGTGGTTCACTACCTCGTGCGGGAGCATCCACTCGGTGAGGCCAGCGTCATTGCGGTACTGCTTCACAGCCGCGATGGTCCCCCTCCACTTGTCCGAGACGATGACGACGCCAGTTGGAGGCGACAGCTCCTTGAAGTTCTCCAACAGCTCCTGCTTGCCCCTGGGCTTGCCGTCGTAAGCATCCCCGACAGACTTCAATACTTTGAAGAAGAACAGGTGCGGCGAACCCTGCACGACGGCGCCCCAAAGCCATAGCTTGTCTTTCTTCGGCCTTGCGTTCTTCGCCAGCTTGGACTGTTTGCCCTTGTTCAGGAAGGACTCGCCCACCTGCAGGATGACCTTCCTGGTTCGGGCAGCAGGGAGCCTGGACCGCGCGGGGCGCTTCATGACAGGCCGCTTCTTGACGCCCGCCTGGGCTGGACGACTCTTGGCCGAGCGCTTGGCCCGACGCTTCGGCGCAGCTTTCGCAGCAGCGGGGCGCTTACGCGGGCCGCCGCCGAGCAGTTCTGCGAAAATGCTCCCAGGGACCATCTTCCTGGCCATGTGCTCCTCGACGCCCTCTTCAAACGTCTGAACCCAGCGCTCCACAGTTGCGTGGGCGTTAGCGCCGACCTCGTCCTTGAGCGTGCCAAGGCTGTAGCCGAAGCACCACATCACGAAGGCGTCGAGCTTGTTCGTCCATAGGCTCGTGGGCGTACCCGCCAAAATGGTGCCCTTCACCGCCGACACCTCGTCGCCGTTGCAAGTGTCGCATCCGCAGTCGTAGCGAGGCCCGCGCCAGTTAAAGCGCACGGCATCGCCGCGGCGATGCTTCACGCTCAGCGTGTACTCGTCGCTGCAGTCTGTGCAGACGTGCGTCTTGCCAACCATGCCGAAGTGCTGGCAGAACAGGTATGCGCGAGCCGCCTCGTCCTCCAAGTAGCTCCCAGGATCCAGGGTTTCCGCGTGCGAGACGGCGTGCTGGAAAGAGTCCTTGTTCGTCACGTCCAGGTCCTTCAGCGCGCCCAGATAGGCCGCCGCGTCTGCGTATCGCGCCATGCCTTGGGATGCGGAAGGGGCGCCGAGAGGCCAACGGAGTTCCCGATCTACCTGCGAGCCGAACGCTGCGGGCGGTTGGTTTCTCTTTCTGTCGCTTTGCGAAGTGCCCCCCCCTCTGAAAGTCATTCGTCTTCTGCAGCTGCTCCCAGAAGTCTTGCCTGTGGTCGCGCACCAAGTCCACCTGGGGCGGCGCAAGCTGCACGCATGAAGCACAACGCGCACCTGGCACACCGCGCGCACATGGCGCACGCACACTGCGCACAAGGCACGCACGTTGCGCACCGTGCGCACCGTCAGGTTTGTCTATCCGCCCACCCTGTGTTCCAGCCGCGCGATCTTCCTCGTGTAAGGCTCGACCGCCGCCTCGAGGGCGGCGGCCTTCTTCTCCGCGCGTTTGCGGGCGTTGTAGGCGGCGTTGCGCGCCTTCTTCTTCGCGTGGGCGGCCGTTCCTGGCTTGGGGTTCCCCATGCCAGGGGGGTGGCGGGGCGGGGCGAAGGGCGCGGTGTCGGCGCGAGCGCGCCGCGAGCTGCTTGAGCCTCGGTCGAGGTGCGGCGTGCTTGCTCGCGCTTCCTCCCTCCCTCCCCCCCTCCTCCTCCTCTTCCTCTTCCTCCTCGTTTTTCTTCCCCCTCCTCCCCCTCCTCCTCTCCCTCCTCCTCCTGCTCCTGCTCCTCCTCCTCTTCCTCCTTCTCCTCCTCCTCCTCCTGTTCCTCCTCCTCCTGCTCCTCCTCCTCCTCGTCCTCCTCCCCCTCTTCCTCCTCCTCCTCCCCCGCCTTCTCCTCCTCCTCCTCCTCCTCCTTTTCCTTCTGCTCCTCCTCTTCCCAATCGGATTCCGGTATCGGGAGCGGGATCCAGCAGAACCCTTGGGAAAACCCCAAACAACAAAACAAAACAAAAAAAACAATCCGAGGAGACCTTTCCCCCCCCCCCCCCCCCCAGCCCCCGAATCTCTGCTCAGGATTTTTTTTGGGTTTCCCCAAGGTTCTGCTGGATTCCGCCCCCGCTAAAGGAATATTCCGATTGGAAGAGGAAGGAGGAGGAAAAGGAGGAGGAGGAGGGAAGGAGAGGAGGACGAGGAGGGAGGAGGAGGAGGAAGGAGAGGAGGGAGGAGGAGGAGAGGAAGGAGGAGGAAGAGAGGAGAGAGAAAGACGCATACGAGAAAGGGGGGGAACACGGTATGCGGATTTTTCCTAAAAACGCAGGGGGGCCAAATGTAGCTTATTATCTTTATCATTATTATTATTATTAGTATTATTATTCTTCGTATTCCCAACCCTCCTGCGTTGGGTTCTCGTTTTGAACAGAGCACTGCTCGCGCCTTCCTTCCCGCCCCCCCCCGTCCCTCTCTTCCCCCCTGCCTTCGCTCGTCGCTGCGTGCCAGCTGGGGGGCTGCGATCTGTGACACTGTCGCCACTTTCGAGGGCTGCTGGGGGGCCCAGCGCAGTGGGGGGCTGCGATCTGTGAAACTGTCGCCACTTTCGAGGGCTGCTGGGGGGCCCAGCACAGTGGGCACCCGCGGCGGATTCAAATGGGACCTCGCCATCCCTGGGGGGCTGCGATCTGTGAAACTGTCGCCACTTTCGAGGGCTGCTGGGGGGCCCAGCACAGTGGGCACCCGCGGCGGATTCAAATGGGACCTCGCCATCCCTGGGGGGCTGCGATCTGTGAAACTGTCGCCACTTTCGAGGGCTGCTGGGGGGCCCAGCACAGTGTGCACTCGCGGCGGCTTCAAATGGGACCTCGCCATCCTGGGGGGCTGCGATCTGTGAAACTGTCGCCACTTTCGAGGGCTGCTGGGGGGCCCAGCACAGAGTGCACTCGCGGCGGATTCAAATGGGACCTCGCCATCCCTGGGGGGCTGCGATCTGTGAAACTGTCGCCACTTTCGAGGCCTGCTGGGGGGCCCAGCACAGTGGGTACCCACCGCGGATTCAAATTGGACCTCGCCATCCCTGGGGGGCTGCGATCTGTGAAACTGTCGCCACTTTCGAGGCCTGCTGGGGGGCCCAGCACAGTGGGTACACACCGCGGACTCCAATTAGACCTCGCCATCCCTGGGGGGCTGCGATCTGTGAAACTGTCGCCACTTTCGAGGCCAGCTGGGGGGCCCAGCACAGTGGGTACACACGGCGGATTGAAACTAGACCTCGCCATCCCTGGGGGGCTGCGATCTGTGAAACTGTCGCCACTTTCGAGGCCTGCTGGGGGGCCCAGCGCAGTGGGTACCCACGGCGGATTCAAATGTGACCTCGCCATCCCTGGGGGGCTGCGATCTGTGAAACTGTCGCCACTTTCGAGGCCTGCTGGGGGGCCCAGCACAGTGGGCTTCCCGCACGTCTTTCTCCTGCTCTTCGTTTCCGACTCCCCATGTCCTCTTCGAGCCTGTAGTTGTCGCCCCTCGTTCTTGTATGGTTCTCCTGCGCATCATTCCATTGGCGCGTGTCCCAAGTAGCTTACATATCAAACACCGGATCCTGCAATTTGATTGTCCGTGCAAGTTTCGGCCAACTCCTCGTTCCCCATGATACAAA